CTTCATCTGATTGTAGCTAATGAGCATGAGTGTTTAGAAGCCAATCAGGTGTATCTTGTTTTGGCAATGAGCCACTCAGATCACAGTAGGATTCAGTTATTGATGTCATGTATTGAAGCTGAGAGAAGGACATTAGTGTGTTATGTGATCGCTATCAAGTTGGTTGGGGGTTTTTTTTCTTTCATTTAGTGAGCTTGTAAAACGTAGTAAAATTAAAGTAATGGTGCAAAGAGTTGACTGGTTGCCCAGAAAGCGATGTAAAATAGTATTATTAAGTGAACAAGGCTACAGTTATAAAGAAATTAGAAGAAAAGTTGGTGGAAACTTAACCAAAGGTGGCATTTCTACTGCACACTTTTTCCAAAAGGTTTCCACAATTTTGGCCACTACTGTAGCTGAAGCAGTATATAAGGGTTGTTTTTTTTTTTCTTCCGTTCAATCATGTCCAATTTTTGAAGATTGACTGGATAAGTCCCTGCAGTTTTCTTGGCAGGTTTTTCAGAAGTAATTTGCCATTACATCCTTCCTAAGGCCAATAGAAAGTGACTGGCCCAAGGAAAACCACCCAGGTGGCCTTCATATTTCTAGCCTGATGCCTACCATTGGAATGGGATTACTCGCCACAGACGACTTGCCATGGCTGGCTTGCCACGGGACAATTCACGGCCAACTCACTGTGGGAAATTCAATATGGGATAACTCAAGAGAGGGACAAGAGGGACAAGTGACTACACGTTCTCCCCCCTCCCCAGCATTGAGGACTTGAGAAGTATTCAAACCTAAAGCAAGATGAGACCTATTGCAATTCAGTGTCCCTCTCTTGAGTTATCCCACGTTGAATTGTCCCACGGCAAGATGTCCTATGGAGAGTTGACCATGGCAAATTGTTTTGCGACGAGTTGGCTGCGGCAAGTCAACCGGGGGAATTGGCCAGGGCAAGTCAGACAGGGCGAGTTGTCCTAGATCAGGGGTAGGCAACCTTGGCTCTTTCATGACTTGTGGACTTTAACTCCCAGAATTCCTGAGCCACCCATGCTGGCTCAAGAATTCTGGGAGTTGAAGTCCCCGAGTCATAAAAGAGCCAAGGTTGCCTACCCCTGTCCTAGGCCCTTTATCCACTACACCAAACTGACCCTCCATATAAGAATTAACACTAAAACAACCTTTCTGCACCATCCTCTTTTCTTGCTTTCTCAACTATATAGATTTAATAAAGCAATGAGTATAGTGTGCTTTCAATGTTAATTCAGAAGAAAATGCATACCATGCCTATCACTTTTGAAATGGTGCATAAAAATATATAATTTCAAAGGTTGCTATGCCCCACAGACCACTGCTCAAAGATATGCCAGGCAAAATAGGAATTGGCAAATGAAACCACTTGCTTTGGATTGCAGATTATTAGAAACAGATGGACTCCCCCTCACTCTCCTGGAACATGCTCCTATCTTGAGCTAGTTGAAAGCTCTCAGATCTTTTAGAATCTTGCTCAAGAAAAGCAAGATCACATGTTATGTTAAAAATAATCCCCACGGGAGTTAGACTATGTTGTTAATCTCTTCTGTTTTATGTTCTGCTTTCTTTAAATTACGGACGTTCAATGATAACATTGACTTTTCTGACATTGTTTTTTTCCCCATTTAGCCAGATTTCTATTATCCTTCATCATGTTCAGGAGATTTTATGAGGCTTTCCTACAAAAGGAAGGTTTTGAGCATCTATTGAAATGTAGAACTGTTTGTACATTGAGGCCTTGGGCAGCTTCCATAGTTACAGAGTTCAGAGCTCTCTGAACAATTGCTGGCAGCTCTGGCAGCACACGGAGTTGGGGGTGCACGTGTGTGAACTGCTGGACACACCTACTCTGTGCCATCTCCTCAGCACCCTCAAGGGTCTTGCCCTTGGCCCATGGGTGGAGCGCATTTCCCTCGCGTACCTTGGTACCTATCACAGCCACGAGCCATTCACGCAGGTCCATTAGGCTACCGCCCAGAGCTGCAGGCCCACCCAGCACGAAGGAGGTGGAAGTGGTCGGCTAGGAAGCCCTGCATAGAGGTGGTAGAGCATGCCCAGGGCTAGCAGGCAAAAGTCCACCCCGAGCAGGGCAAGCCAGATCCCCATCGGCATCATGGCCACCCAGGCCTAGCAGAGATGGGGGGGAAGGCACACAATCCTAGCTGGGACTGGGGGGGCATGGTGCCAATGGGGATCCGGCTTGCCCCAATTTGGCTTGCTGGGTGTAGGCGTGCTCTACCACTTCTACTCGAGCTTGCTAGCTGGCCATTTCGCCTCCTTTATGCTGGGCAGGCCAGACACTCCGGGCAGTGACCTAATGGACCTGCGCAAGCAGCTGGCGGCGACCCGAGACAGGGCCAAGGTGCACGAGGGGAACAGGCTCCATGCGTGGGCCAAGGGCAAGATCTGCAAGGGGGCCAAGATGACCAGCAGTGACCTGCTCTCCAACCACAAGCAAAAACAATTGGGATGGAGTAGGCACGTCCGGCAGTCTGCATCACGTGCCTCCCCCCCTCCCCTACTTCGCCTGCTGCTGGAGGGCTGGCCCAGTATTGGCAGTGGGCTGCCGGCAGGCTGTGGCTGCTGATGGACACCGACAGCCTCCATGCACTCACTGGCCTCTGTGTGAGGGGGCCGATGGTGTCAGGCAGCAGCCGCCACGGCCCCTGCCTTGCCTTGCCTTGCCCCGTGGCAATAGCACTCCCGCTCTGCCCTCTGCCTTACCCCGCGGTTTGGGCACTCGGTCTCTAAAAGTTTCACCATCACTGTCCTATGCACAACTGCACTTTCAGTACAACTGCTTGCTATATGAACTACATTTATACTGTAAATGTCATAAATCTAGCAGCTCACAATCATTAGAGGAAATACATAAACATTTTCAGCCACTTTTTTTTTTTTAGTACCAATGGTATGTATACCTTTCTTTTTCAGCCAGGATTCATATTTTTAATGCTCCATCTAAGAAACATACTTTTCTTAGGGTCAAAAAGTAAAATAATAGTAGCAGACTGTTTCCAGAGTTATTCATTCTGCTAGCTCCAGCAGCAACCACAAGATCTCTCTCTTTTCCTCAGTGTGACCACATATTTCTGGGACTCCTTTTGTGGCTAGTGCTGCTTCCCATCATACTGTTCATGTGTTGATTTGCACTAGAGTTTTATCCCAGAGAGCACTCAGTAATGGATCATTGCTATTTATCTATGAAAAGGTCCGTGATTGTTAAAATTATATTACTACTAGTTAAACTTGTCACTTTGAGTTGCTTTGGATAGCAAGATAGGCAGTGTATAAATGTAATAAATATTTTTTTAAAAAAAAATCTGCAGTTGGCCAGAAAAACACATTCAAATAATGGTCATTAATCATAACACCACAAAACAGGAGAAAAAGAGAATGAGTGGGTGATAGAAGATCTGCTGTTTTTGGCCTTGAGCTCATTGTAATTTGTATTCATTTTTATGCATTGAGAAAGAAGCAAATGGGAAATGTTTACTATATTGATGGAAAACAGTGCTTGTTGGGATAGTCCGCTGTTGATGTTGTAGAGCAGTGTTTTATCTTTTTGTGTTTTTCTGATACTGCTGTGAGCTGCTGATTCTGTAAGTTTTACAAATAAATAAATGCTAATGCCTTGGAAGCCATAAATAATATTCAAAGTAATCTCAAATATTTAAAAAAAAACTGGCCAGGGAATGCCAGATTAAAATGAACAGAGATAAATGCAGTTATTCGTTTAGGTAAAATAAATCAAATACATCAGTCTAAGATAAGCCATACCTACGTCTTAGCACTATACTACATCTGAAAGTGATTTTGGAGTTACAACCGATCATAAGCTATGAATCAGTAGTGTAATGTAACTGCAAAAAGAGCAAATGAAATTTTAGTCTGGGTCATAACTTTCCAATAATGAAAATACTTCCAATCTGGTTATAGTTCTGGCCACCATATTTTAAGTAGAATTCAGATCAAGTAAAAATGATTCAAAGGATAGTGAAGAAGATTGGGGAACTGAAGTTAAGGAGAACATCTATCTCCAGTCTACAACACAGTCCTTTCAACAGTTCCAAGAAGGCTCCACACCCATTTGCACAACTCAGGTGACCCTGAGGACACAGATAAGCCTCCAGGTGGCCTCGTCCACTGGCAAAAAGAATGCAAAATCCTTCCATTCCCCACCATCCAGTCTGAGCTAAAGAAGCTTCTTGAATGAGAAGCGAAATATCTTCAAAGAAAAAACAAGAAAGTCCATTTGCCTCGTGAAAAAAGCACCTTTGGGACAACCATGACCTGGATGACTGAGAATCTCCACAGACATTAAGGAGAATAGAAAATTGGGGAGGGAGACTCTAATTGTGCTCTTCAAGTACAGATAGTCCTTGACTTAGTGACCATTCAAAGTTACAACGGCACTGAAAAAAGTGATATGACTTTTTCATACTTACAACCGTTTCAGCATCCCCAAGGTCATATGATCAAAATTCGGATGCTTGGCAACTGATTCATATTTATGACAGTTTCTGTGACATGGGGTCATGTGAACAGCTTTTGTGAACTTCTGACAGACAAAGTCAAAGGGGAAGCCAAATTCACTTAACAACTGTGTTACTAACTTAACAATTGCAATGATTCACTTAACAACTGTGGCAAGAAAGGTTGTAAAATGGGGCAAAACTCACTTAATAAAGGTCTCACTTAGCAACATAAATTTTGGGCTCAATTGTGGTCGTACGTCGAGGACTACCTGTACATGAAAGATACTTGTATACACATAAAAGCACTATGATTTGCTCTTTGTGATCACAGATTGAAAATCATAGAACAGTAGACTTATTAGGTGTAAGTTTGTAGAATTAGGGCAAGTGGACATTTTGAGGAATTTTAATGACACCTTCCAGTCCTATCGTTTTATGTGAAGAATAGGATTCTTAATTTACTGATTCCATCACCCACCCCACCCCCTTTATTTTTTTGTCTTCCAGGAAAAAGTGCTGTAAAGGTTATAAGTTTGTTCTTGGACAATGCATTCCCGAAGGTATGTAATTAAACGTTTCTTTATCACGTTTATCCCTTCCATGGCTCTATCTTCCCGTGCTAAATAATAAAAAATAAGATTGAACATTTGTTTGATAGGCATGGTGATGAACCAGAATTCCCTGTGATGTCTCCCAGCTTTATATTATTCAAATGTGAAAGAATTTGGTACGCTTTTGCGATATCTTAATTTGTTTATCAAAAAACTTTCAAAAAAAGCAGGGCGGGGGTAGTCATAGCTAACACTGAAGTCATAAAGAAAGACTGTACAGTGAGAGATGACATGTGGAAGGAAATGACAAATTCAGTTTAGGCCCTCTCCCAATTCTGAAGATACTGAATCCAGCTGGATGTAAATCTGTACGCACCATATTTCTTTCCTTAACCCAGGCTCTTCCACACACAGGACCCCTAGCCTGACATCAACACTGCACCCCACGGGATGGGATAGACCTGAGAAGCTTCCAAGCTGAGTCCATTAATTATTAGCTCAGCTCCTCTTCAGAAGAGAGGCTTCAAAGAGGGTTGTGCAGCCCTGCCTCTGGGCAGTAAAACTCATGGAGCCTGAGATTTTGTTTCTGAGATTTCTCCTTCCTGTAGCCAAACAGCCGCCATTTCTCTATAACTTCAAGAGATGATGTTGATGTTTTGTTGGCGCAGTGACCCTTTCAGGAAGGGGTTCCTTTGTTTCTCAAAAAAGTACAGCAAGAGAAGAACAAAGGTGGGCCTGAGGTGCTAGCTGGATGCTATTTTGAATATCCAGGTCCTTGAGTTATGGCCATAATGGAGCCTGCCCGTTAGGGTCAAAAGTCAGGACAAGCGTTAAATGTACTGCCTCAGGTAATGACCAGCCATCCCTGTTCTCCCCAATGTATTTGTTAATTGAATGTGTGGGTTGTTAAGCGGAGCATGGGGTGCCTCAGGGTGGGGGAGATCCTGGGAGGCCTAGTGCAGGCACAGGCCCAGTTGCCTTGGACCTTCCAAGTTCTCCCCCACCCCCTGACGTATCCCATGATCTGCTTGCGGTAGTGAAGCATTACAGACTCCATTACAGTTGTAACTCTAAGACTATCTATATTCATAAAATCAATTAATAATAGATTCTAATGGAGCAACTTCACTTCCTCTTAGGAATAAATGCACAGCAATAACAGAGCCTGTCTTCTGTTGATGCAGTGCTTCTTTATAGACCCTGGGTCCAGTGCTAATTGACCCGGGCTGGTTCCCCCTATAGCAAAGCCCGACGTGTCTTCACCATACTACTTTACCCTGGCCATTTCATGTCGACAGCTCTGTTCTTTCCATTTCTTTTCTTTTCTTTCTTTTTTGGAAAAAAATATAACATTGGGAAGTTCTGTTTAAAAACAAGTTAGATCAAATTTTATCTATCCACTGTGGCAGACTTACACTTTTCCCATCAGCTTCATAACTGCATAAATCTGAATGTGGGTCTTATTATATACTCTGCTCATTTTGCCGTGTGGACTCACTCTACCCAGGAGACATGATGAAAAGAAATGGCTGAAATCTTCCTCGATGTTCATTATGTCTTGGGAAAGGGGGCTTTTTGGGGTGTTCTGGGGACACTGTCATCTGTGAACTTTGTGTTGACTTCTCTGGCCCACTCTTGCTAGGTGCAAACTGATAAATGTTCAGAGATACGTACCACTCCTCTTTTAAAATCATTCTTGGAAGATTCAACTGTTCTGAGGATAATAACCATTTGTTTAAGAGGAAATATTTTACTATTATCATATACACATAGAATATACACATAAGAGTGTGTTTTATAGGTCATGCATTCTCAACTCTGGCAGGCAGTTGCTAAGACAATGCATAAATCTGACATGTTCTTCTTGTTGAGAACCAACTTTGTGAAATTAATTAAAGGATTCACCTTATTTTTATGGTAGATGTAGCATCAGCAGATGTTCTAGCTTAGTAGTGGTTCAATGTTTTGGGAATTTTGGCAGCCAGGCACAAACTTGATAGCGTATTGAGGCAAAACTGATAACAGAACTTGGTAGATGATCAAGCTCATGAAGTGATTTCTCTTTTCTTAGCTCTGCTGTCAGCAATGAGAAAATCCTTGGGACTATACATTCTATACTGACTTTTGAAATTGGTAAAAGCTTTGAACCAACTGAGAAACTGTGATTATAATGCAAATAGATTCAGCATATTACATCATCTGCGTACACACTTATCACAAAAGTAGCCAGTTGGAAACCACATGTAGTTTGTGATTTCAAATCAGGTTTGGATGCACACATCAAAATAACCATTTTGTGAGATAAATGAGAAAATGGGGTTATAATCCTCAGTGGAAAATATTGTTAATTCTTCCAAATCTCATCTCTTCTGCAACTATTCCTGATGGCTGAGGAAAGAAAGATGCCCCAAATTTCCATCAATTTTGGTATGAACTAGACATTTTTGGAAGTACTTAACGGCCTAACAATGATGATTCTTCCTCCTTTCTATTTAGTTATGTGTTGCACGCTACGTATAATTACAACAGTATGCTCTGAGATTTCCTGCCCTTGCAAGCAGCAATGAATTTATTTTATTACTGTACAAGAAGCCGTGCAAAGGTGTAGGAACATGACTGCTTCTAATAACTAATTCCTGGTATTTGGGATTATTTGTGTTTTTAAGTTAATTCTTATTGAACTATAAAACTCCAATTGTGCTTGTGGATAGCGCACAATTGGAGGAGACTATGCATGTCAACAACATGATGAGTTGTCTCAAAACCATCAATAAATTCATTCATCCATCCATCCATCCATCCATCCATCCACCCACCCACCCANATCCATCCATCCATCCATCCATCCATCCATCCATTCATTCATTCATTTATTCTCAGCCCAAGTCAGCCCATTGTAGGATGAAAACCACTTTGGCTGCTTTCCAACTATTGTGACGTGTTACAAATCACCAATTACACCTTTAATAAGTTACATTATTTGGACATTTCTTTGGTTATTTTCTGGCTCTTTTAAGGTGAACTATTACTAATGAGGATAGTTGTTATCTGCATGGCTCTACTGTCATGAGGCCACCACTTCATTATGTCATCTAGTCCCATCTTTGGTGTATCCCTATATGTCTTGCCGTGCCTTGCCTTTTTATATTAAGCATTCCAAGCTTCTTTGAGTAACTTCCAAATTCTGTATTGCTTTCACATTTAATGACCATTTTTTTGCAACCACACGTCAACATAAGTAGTACTTTCTGATTTAATACCTCACCAAAAATCGCCAAACAGAGGCTGTCATACTTTGGTCATGTCTTGAGAGCTGACTCACTTGAAAAGTCAATCATGCTGGGAGTGATCGGTGGAAAAAGAAGAAGGGGCTGCCCTAGCACCTGCTGGCTGGACATTAAAAAGGATGACACTGGGATGACCATGACGGATCTGAAGGAGGCAATTCAAGACTGAGGGGCATGGAGCATGCTGATCCATAGAGTGGCTGAGGGTTGGACACAACCGAATGGCTAAGGAGGAGGATGCTGATTTAACAATGTCCTCTTTAAGGAGATTGGTACACTGCTTTTGGATTGTCTCCCAGTTTATTTTACTCTGGTTCAGAATTTATTCCATGATCACACTTTCCAGGCTGATCTTTTGACTAAGTCAGATGCAATCATTGGTCTTCTGCAGCTCATAGTTTTCCACTTTTATGTATGCACATGACTTTCATACAGATAAGTTCTTGAAAGATAACTTCTTCAGAAAGTTTCTTCAAAAGACAGGATGCAACTGAAAAATAGCACTGTTTTTTTCTGTTTAGTTACATAGTTCTTTATCAAATGTAGTTAGGAAGGGCAGTGGTTTGCTACTCTTCCATGATGAGTAACTTTGACTAGATCTACATTAATACATATCTCATATATTAACATTCCATTGCTCCTGCAGTTTAAGACAGCTGCTAACTTCAGTCATATTCTCTCTTTAGACTATGATGTTTGTGCAGATGCTCCTTGTGAACAGCAGTGCACCGACAACTTTGGTCGAGTCTTGTGTACGTGCTACCCTGGTTATCGGTATGATCGTGAAAGACACAGGAACCGAGAAAAACCCTATTGCTTAGGTGGGTGCAAAGAACTGCAGTTAAAATACATGTAGAACAAACAACATTTAGTTTTATAATAATGTAGATGCTGTTCTCATGCATTTCCATACATGTGAGTGTGAACTTCGCTGTCTTAACTTTATACCTTTCTGAATAGGGACATTCAGAAGTTCTGTCAAAAGATAGAATAAGTTCTATCAAAAGATATAGTGAGGCGACTATTGCAGATATGTCTGGGAAGTCCTTCTGAAGTCCCTGTGTTGTAGGACACTGTGCTGTGGGTTGTGTTCTGCATTCTGTAAATAATAATAATAATAATAATAATAATAATAATAATAATAATAATAATAATAAAGTTGGAAGGGACCTTGGAGGTCATCTAGTCCAACCCCTGCTCAGGCAGAAAACCCTATACCATTTCAGACAAATGGCTGTCAGTCTCTTCTTAAAAACTTCCAGTGTTGGAGCATTCACCGCTTCTGGAGGCAGGTTGTTCCACTGGTTAATTGTTCTAACTGTCAGGAAGTTTCTCCTTAGTTCTAGGTTGCTTCTCTCCTTGATTAGTTTCCATCCGTTGCTCCTTGTCCTGCCTTCAGGCGCTTTGGAAAATAGCTTGACTCCCTCTTCTTTGTGGCAGCCCCTGAGATATTGGAATACTGCTATCATGTCCCCCCTTGTCCTTCTCTTCATTAAACTAGACATACCCAATTCCAGCAGCCTTTCCTTATATGCTTTAGCCTCCAGTCCCCTAATTATCTTTGTTGCTCTTCTCTGTACTCTTTCTAGAGTCTCAACATCTTTTTTACATCGTGGTGACCAAAACTGGATGCAGTATTCCAAGTGTGGCCTTACCAAGGCATTGTAAAGTGGTATTAATACTTCACGTGATCTTGATTCTATCCCTCTGTTAATGCAGCCTAGCACTGTGTTGGCCTTTTTGGCAGCTGCAGCAC